TAATTATATTATATTACTATATTATAATTATATTATTATATTAATTATAATAATGTATTATATTATTTATATTAATTATATATTAATTATAATTATAATATTAATGTAATTAATATAGATAATATAATATATTATTATAATTATATTAATTGTAATAATATATTATATTATCTACTATTAATATATAATTATATTATAATATTCCAATCATTCGGACTATAAAATTGTATAATATATTTTTCGAATATCACATCAATTTCCAATCACACTGAAAGCGATGAGATCTAAAAGTACGAAGTAAAAGTTTCAAATGTTTCAAAATGATAATCCCTGCAGATCATAAATTTTCTAACACTTTCTACATTATTTTTGAGAATAAACAAGCTCCATTACTAATTTTACTATACACAACATCTTAATAATAATAATATAATTATTAAAAATTAATGACATCATATTGATCATTGACACACGTGTAGCAATTTCGAGTAAATACATTTTAGATATTCAGTAGCCGCTAGTTCGTGAACTTCTTGCATTGTTATTCACAAAAAAATATTGTTCGCTCAGTATTCGTTGTTCTTTCGAATCGCAGCCAGAAACATGTTGTATATTCCATTTAAAAAATTCAAAGTAACTTCCCATGTGTGCAAAGTGGTAAAAAAAACTAGTCACCATACATTACGCTTCCCTTCATATCGTACAGTTTTTGTTCGAAACATTCTCTCGTATAACACGCGGTTTGCGAGTAATTTAAAGTGGTCGAGTTAGGTAAATCACCCTGTTGGAGGATTGTTGGACGCGAGTTGTACGTTATGCTTTTACATAAAACAGAATCTCGTTCGAAATCGATTGATTCTGCACGTTGTACACGCGAATTAACGCGCAAAATATGTTCGATGATTCTTAAAACAAGGTTACTGTTAGCACCGTTTTACGCAGATCACGAGCACACGATTTCAGATATTTAAAAAGATAATCAACAATTTTTTTATTCAACTTTTTTTAGTCTCTAGGTTTTTAGAGCGAAATTTAAAAAAAAAAGAAAAAGAAATAAATGAACGGATTAATGAGACGTCAGTCACAGGAAACTTTCAAGTTGAATCGATGATAAATTTCTGAGACCTAAGAGATCAAAGAAGCCGACATCCGTCAAAACGCGTCAATTCGTCACGTTTGATTATGCTTCGATGCGTTGGACAAATAATTTAAAAAATTATGCTTTAACAATGAATTTAAACTTAATAATAAATAAAAATTCTCAAAGTTCAAATAATGTAAGAAATTATGTTTCAACGAATTCAAACTGAATAATAAATTCTCGAAGTTCTGATCTACTAATTGCCGGCACAGCTTGAAAATTTCCTACGATGGAAAACTTCCTCGTCGTGAGTAGCACTCGACACTATAGATCTAGCACCGAAAATCGAGGAATTAAAGAAAAACTGTCGACACGTCCTGGGAAACATGCTGCAATCAAATGCCTCGTCATACGCTACCAGGTTGAAAAATCGATGAACCAAAAATCGACGTCCCGAAAGCTCGTACTTTTTTTTCTTTTCGATCGCTCTCTATGAAACTGTCGCACAGTACCGCGTCCGGATCGCATTCACGCTTGTCCAAATCTGAAACAATTACATCGTAAATAGAGTAATTCAAGCTGGCCGTCATTGACTCGGTTATGGCCGGCCATTCACGCAAAACATTATACCGGTTTTGCACGAATCATGTTTCCGTTCATCGTATCCCGCGAAAACGCGAGTTTCAACAATTAATCTCTCGCCCGTCCACGCGGTGCTGGACGCAACAATAATAATTTAAATTATTTCGGCCATTATTGCGGCTATTATTTTCGATTGAACGTTGCTTCGGTGATCCACGAAGGTGAATGGTAAATTACCAAGGAGTATCCCGGTTATCTGTCCTGTTACAATCAAGCATTTAATTATCGAAGGGGCGCGCAGGTGTTGCCGCTGCTACCTGGTATTAGTTTTGCGTTATTCGGTTATTTCATTACTCCCTCTGCCTGCCTGTTTTATCGCGGTTTAATAATACTGGATGGTTAATTATTATTATTCGATGCTTCTCGAATTATTTGCACTCTGGGTATTCGTTGGATCTTTCCCAATTATATTCTTCTCTGCAAGGAATGATTTTCCATTTATTATTTGTACATTTTTTGTTACACGTTCGTGTGTGTCTTATATGATACAATGTAATATATTATATTGTAGGAAATCATGTGTATTAAAAATTGTAGGCCATTCGGGACTCGATATTGTACAATAAATGAGAACAGTTAATGGATTAATGGAGTATAAAGAGAATTTAAAAAAAAAGAATTTAAAAAAAAAAATAGTTGGAGCGCAGATGTTTTTGCATATCGTGTGATATATTTTATTTCACAATATTTTTACAAACGTTTTGTTAAAAAAGTTTAAGTGACACTTTCCAACTAGCGCCATACTTTGAATATTTCGCATATTTTTGCACACCACGCGCCTCACATTATTTATTTCCAGTAAATTATTCCAAAAATCATAAATTTCCTTCGAATTCTCGCGCAACATCTCGTAAAACTATAAATTTCGTTTGAAGTTCCTGTGGCATGTCTCATGAATGATTAATCGAGGCAACATTACACGAAGAAAGAATTGAATTATCTTGCTTCAACTTGAGAAACTTCGTCCTCAAAGAGATTAAAGTGTGATAGCACGTGCCGAGAGTTTATACAAAACTGAAACAAAGGATCTCGCAGTACGTATTTTCCAATCTATCGTCTGAAAATATCCTTCCTGGGCGAAAGTATTATTTCAAGGACCTCCGGTATCCTCCGAGGACCCGCAACGGGGGTGAATATCGTCGCTGGATGGTAAACACGAAAGGACGTGAAACGACAAACGTGGACCGATATTAAAATCCGAAGAAAAAGGAAACAGCAGCAGTCGAGCCGAATCGATATCGAATCAAACCGTCGCGTCCAACGACGAGCAGAATCTGCTTCCTTTTCTGTCACCCTGTTTCTCATCGATCGAGTTCTACATATCACGAAATATTTTTACATCGCGAAATATCCAACACTGGACATTTGATATCCAGATAATTGGCGTTGTAAGTTTCAAAACTGCGTATAAATTTTAGATCGTGTGCTCTGTGCTATTCAGATATCGGACACTTTGTCAGATCGTATTCTCGGTTTGTTTATATGTTCTTTCAGACAAATGTGTAATATATGCATTTTCGATATTCCAGAAGATGGTGTAATTTCAGCTGGTAAATTAATCGAGGCCTATAAAATCCTTTGTTTCAAGTATTTGAAATTTGACAAAAGTATGTAGACTTCTGCATCTAATTTTTTCGTTTAATTTAATACCAAAAGTTTTTCCACGAATATCAATTGCGCTTTGTTTACTGAGAGTGAGAAATTTCAAGTTGTCGTAAATTGAAAAATTGATAAATAGAAACATAGTCTAAATTTGGCATGATAAGATCAGGCAAGGCAACAGTGCAACTAGTCGGACATTAAAATGTGATTTAAACTCTTTAACTATCAATAATAATAATTTTGGGAAATTTTATTCTATAATTCCTTCTTCCATCAGGCAAAAGTTTGTCTGACGTGTACTCTGAAACATTCGAAGGAGCAAAGAGATCGACTCTTCGGCCCTTCTTTCACTATTAGAAATCGCAACAGACGACGAGGCAATATGTAAAGAATACTTCAATCATCATTAAACGCAGTTTTGTTCTCTCATAAATAAAACTTGCATTTTCAAAAGCAAGAAGTAAAACTTGTTACACCTAACGTCGTCCGAAGTTTCACTCGAAAGAAAAATTTCACTCGATTCCGTGTTCTTCCACGAAGAGTCGAGATCATTGAAAACCCGCCTCGCCTCGCCTCGCCTCGCCTCGCGTCGAGCAAACTTCTCGCCCGAAAGCGAAAGACAAACGAAGGGAAAAATCGACGAGCGGAGTCCGGGTGGTCGGGCGATCGTTCAATTATGGAAGACGTTTCGGAAGGCAGTGCGAGGTCTGCGAACGACATCGATCGCTCGTGCGTTGATCCGGTGATCGAGGTCCTAACATGAGGCACGAGACTCGCGGAAACGCCGCTGCCGGAAACCGAGCAGGCACCGAAGAAACCACCCTCCGTTATGTTGTACGTCGTGGCGCCCGGGAAGCTTGTTCTAACCTTGCAATCGATACCGCCGTTCGTCGTCGAGAGTATTTTCGCTTTGACGCTGGCTGTGCTGTTGGCCGTCCCGCTGATCCTTCGCGTTCAGCACACTCTAGTACGTGTTACGCTTGTCGTTCGGCTTGCCGATTCGCACGACATCGATTCAATGATGGTGTTTTTCCTTGGGAAAATTGACACCGATTGATACCCAGAGATATTTCTCGGATCGTACTTGGCGCGAGTGAGCTGGCCAATGCGAGTGACTCGACCGTGATTTGATAAATATGATGATGCAAAGCTCGAATCCCATTGTAATTGTTCGATTTTGTCAGAATTATCTCTCAGTCTTTTAACTTCTTCAACTCTGAAAATTTACAGTTCCAGAAATGTTGACCTTCGACATGTTGTTGAGTTCATACAAGAGAATCACAGATCAATTAGAATATTAATTTGAGAAAACGATTTTTAATTTATCGAATATAACTTCTACATTTATAGAGTTCCTATCTTTTAATGCATTCTATCATGTCACTTAAAAATTGTTTATATCATGACTTGAAGTTAGAAGAGCTAGATCTAACTTAACTTAAAAATAAGTTTAATATTTTTTTCTTATTTCTGTAATTATAGAACATCTTGATTAACGAAACGATTCAATTAACAAACTAAACGAAGGACTCTCCCTCCGAGTAATACTTTCAGTAATAAATTCTTAATTCTTCTGATCTTTCTATTACACAATTGATATTAAAAGAAACAAAGTTGAAGAATCGAATCACACGTAAACTTCGAAACACCGCACCCCTGGTCACGTCAGAGTCGAAAAATTTCCAAGGAAACCGCCAAAGTTGATGAGGGCGTCTCTTCAAACAACCCCTAAACGAATCATCCCCTAGAACCTAACCGCGTCCACGAAACGATATATATATATATATATAGTGGCAGAGTGGTATGTGTATATATATATATATATATATATATATATATA